GCAAGAATCCTTATTAACAAGCCAGTGTTTTGATCTAACCTTTAACATCTCCATAAGGAGGAAGAGGATAAAGGGTCCAGGTAGAGCAATCCTGTAGTTGCAGGGTCGTCTCAGGTGCCTGAATCACAGTAAAGTCTCTAGTATTCCTTTTTTCCTTTTTTGTTTCTCTTCAACAAAGGATTTGAAGGATCTAGGTGGGTTTTAACATACATTAACAAGAAGGCGAACAAGGGATAGAGTGAAGTGAGTCATAAAAGGGAAAATCAGAAGGAATGTCAAGTCTTCAGGGAGGCCAAACAACAAATCCACCATTACAAAGTCTGGTGGGTGGGGTACAAAGGAACAACTGCCACCAGTCAATTTTATCAGAAGTTAAAGTGATTCAGTGACAAGTATTTGCACAGTGGCCAGTGAAACACTGAAGTTACAGCGGCACACACCTGTAGTCCCAGCGCTGGAGAGGCAGAAGCAGCCTATCAAGTACATAGTTCCTGGCCATCCAAGGCCACATAGACTATCTAAGGAAAACAAACAAAACCCAAACTTTCTGCCAGGACTTGAGATTGTTAGGGGCTTCCCACAGGGCAGACAAATACTCTACCTGTGACCCTGAACTCCATTGCTAACAACTCTCCACCTTACTGACAATGATACAGATGTATTAAAATAACCAAAGTTGTTGGAACATACAGAAAGTCGAGTTCCTAGATGCAGGAGGAACTGTAAGATCATGTAGGTAGGCACTTTGAAAAGTGCAGTTTAGTAAAACCTGGGACAAAGCAATTACATTGGTGGTTAGTTATAAAAGTAAAATCAGATTCGTTCACTCAAACCTGTATGGGATTGGAGCTCACCAGACAGAAAGCCATAGTAGCCTACCAACTGGCTAATGGTGTACACTAGAATACTGCAAAATAGATTACAAGCATTGAGAAGTAAGAATCAGCCCCTGCTTTGACAACACATACTAAAGCTATACAGAAATGAGCATGGCCCTACACAAATTTGCCAAAGGGGCACTTTAATCTTAAAACTAGGGGGACACTAAGGATCGGACAATAAACTTAATGTCTATTCAGGAAGACTGTTGGTCAATGTGAGATTTGACTGATGCTCAATGTGAGAACTTACACAGACAGCAAAAGACTGAACTTTTGAGAGCATCTACCACAGACTGGCTGAGCTTCTGAACCTTGGCTTTTATAGACATATCAACATAATTTTCCCCCAATACAATCATTAAGCCCATCTTTGGCAGGACAGTCTTAACTCCAGTTTCAATGCTTGGCTTTGACTTGGGGAAGTTCTTGAGGGAGGTCTTCAACTAGATGCACTGGTCATTGTACAAGGTACTTCTCTCCATGGCGGACACTCACGATGGTGGAAAAAGCAAAAATGACTTGCTTAGGCGACCATTTTCAGCAAGTAAATTCATGAGGTTGGCAGTCAGGGAAACTTTTCCTTTGCTGTGGTGTCATTCAGGCTTTTTACTTTGATGGAACACTCAAAGGAGACAACGTATTAATCTCTATTGGCACAGCTTATTCTGTTTAGACACAGCAGGGCCTGACCACAGGTGTTCTAAAAGCCCCTCCCCTTCACCTATTGGAATATCCCGGATGTGATAGCCTGGCCATCTCCCAGGTAGCTTATAGGTCAAACAATTTTCATATTTTAAATAAGGTGGAGAAACAAATGAGGAAAATATCCCCTTATAAAACTAGCTTCCTCATGGGCAAGTACCTGCATACATAAGTAGAAAGCATAACACAAAAGCTCCAATTCTATAGCATTCTGGGAAAGGGGAAACAGAAGAAATAGCAAACATCGGGCATAAACCCAAAGATAGGGATGGGCGTTAACCACAAAAGGTCACAAGAATTTGTAGGGGTGATGTGACTTCTGACTTGAATGAATTAGTGATTACACGATTATGTATTCAATAAAGCTCACAGAATTCTACAAGGGGATTTTTTTTTTTCCCTAGCTTAACCCATAAAGTAGTTCAAGTAGGCTCAGAAGGAAGGTAGGGCAAGTTTATATTCTACCTCACTAGGGAACTAGTTATTCTTACCTTGGAGGCATCTGTATTGAGGTGATAGTTTAGCTTGTAACCATTAGTTTACAGTAGAGTTGTAGAGGTTGAAAAGAGATTAAAACTCAAAAAAACGATGTTAAAACTGAATCGTGGGGCTAAGGTACAGTTAAGTTGGTAGAATGCTTGCTTGCTTGCAGGACGACCTGCACTCCATCCTTCCCACGCTACAAAACCCAGTGTGGTGCCACAGCCTACTGTAATCCCAGCCAGGTGGAGAGGGTGTATTAAGGAAGGAGTAGTTGAGATCTGAGTGACTTTCACGCAGCCCAAGCTAGCCTTGAACTAATAGCAATCCTGCCTCAGCCTCCTGAGTGCTGGGATTAGTTGTGCCACACAGCTTCATGGACATTTTTGTTTTTCAATTTTATACATGGGAATGTTTTGTCTGCACATATACCTGTGTACCAGGTGCATGCCAGCCAGAAGCCAAAAGTGAGGTGCAGTTCCCTGGAACTGAAATTATAGATGGTTGTTAAGCCATCAGTCTTGCGTTATAGCTGTGGCTAGCCTCTGGACAAAACTATGTATACCAGGCTGGTCTCAAACTTGTGGTAATCTTCTTACCCTTTCCTTCTGAGGGTCTGGACTATAGGTGTGAGCCACCATGCCTGACCTCCATGGATGTGTGTGTGTGTGTGTGTGTGTGTGTGTGTGTGTGTGTGTGTGTGTGTGTGTGTGTGTGTGTAGAACAGGGGTCAACATGGACTACATTCCTCCCACTTCCTGAGACAAAGTTCCTTCAGTGAACCTTTTTTTTTTTTTAAAGATTTATTTATTTATTGTGTATATAGCATGTATGACTACAGGCCAGAAGAGGGCACCAGATCCCATTACAGATGGTTGTGAGCCATCATGTGGGTGCTGGGAATTGAACTCAGGACCTCTGGAAGAGCAGTCAGTGCTCTTAACCTCTGAGCCATCTCTCCAGCTCATCCTTCAGTGAACCTTAAGCTCACTGATTCAGCTGGACTGTCCAGCAAGCCTCAGGGATTCTCCTGTCTGCTTCCCCAGTACTGGGATTCCAGGTTTGCACCATTACTGGCTTTCTCACCTTGGGTATTATATGTGAGCATAGCCAGCCTTTACCAAATACCTAACCCTGCCTCAAATAAAAATTCTATACTGGAGAGATGGCTCAGAGATTAAGAGCACCTACAGCTTTTACAAAGAGCCCAGGTTTGATTCCCAGTACCCACATATTGGCTCACAACTGTCTTTAAGTACAGTTCCAAGGTATACACTGCCCTCTTCTGACTTCTGTGTGCACCAGACATATACCTGTCATACACACACATATGCAGGCAAAATAGTTATTATACAATCAAAATATATTTTTTGAAAACTCCATGCATAGGCATTTGGTTCCATTTTAGGCATTTATCCAACCTAATTTTACAAAAGCAGAAATTTCTACTTCCTTTCTAGGAGAGGATATTCTGGTTTGGTACCCAGCACTGTTTTTGGGGTCAAGGAAAACTGACTAAAGAACTGAAGTCTGTAACACTGGACTTGCACAGGGCTTGGACAATTGTGACTGCAGATTAGAACTTCATAGATAGTTATTTCACTTTGACATTGTAGGTCTTCGTTTGTCTCAGAGAAGACAGACCTGAGTGCTACTTTCTCAGCATTTTGAATGTCATTTTAATGGAGCAGTTTTACCAGTCAATCCATGTTTATCTAGTGTCTTGGTCAATTCTCAGAGCCCAGGTCAGTGTTCGAATCCTCCGACTTGACAACTTCCTGGCCCACCTGTTTGGTGGAGTGCTTTTCAGGCTGGAATCATCATGATAGGCTGGGATGAATGACCTTCTCTACCAAGTATTCAGACAAATTTGTACACTACAAAGTGCCACTCAAAGCACTTGCAATCCAGAGACTGGACAAGCCAGCCACCCTGTATTTTCATTGCTCATAGGATCCATTCATGAGGGAACCACACTATCCTGTGTTTAATTCAGCATGACCAGTTGTAGTCATACAATAGTCAGTGCTGACAAACTGACTACTTAGATGTGAAAACTACGTGGTATGCACTGGGTAACAAGCCACTTTATAAACTCAATTCATTGCCTAATAGATCTTGGTATGTGCCCCATAAACGACATTCTACTGGAGTCAAAAGCACCCTCAAATGTTGCCTTCCCTAAGGGATTCAACATTACTTGTACCACATTAAAAAAAAAAAAAGTGTGATACTCAGCACCAAGTTGAGAAAGCCAGTAATGGTGCATACTTGTAATGTTAGTGCAGGGAAAGTAGACAGGAGAATCCCTGAGGCTTGCTGGACAGTCCCGATGAATCGGTGAGATTAAGGGTCACTGAGGGAACCTTTCTTAGGAAGTGACTCAATCACTCTCCATCTTACTTTTGAGATAAGTGTCTGGCCTGTGAGCTCTGGGGATCTGCCTGTCTCTGCTTCCATAGCATGAGGATTATAGGCAGATGCTGCTGTGCCTGGCTTTTTATGTGGAAGCTGGGAATCTGCATTCAGGTCCTCATGCTTTCATGGCAAGCACGTTTACTGAAGTCAGCATGGTAGTGTGCATGCCTATAATGCTAGCCTTGTGGAGACAAAGCAGGAAAACTGCCACAAGTTCAAGGTCAGACTGACTTTTCCGGCCAGCCAGGGCTATGTATCAATACCCTAGTCTTAAAAACTAAGAAAAAAAACCTCCTTGCATGCTGAAGCTTCTAGCCATCTAGAGGCTCATGGTTCTGCTGGAACACTCACCTGTCCACAAACTTTAACATGTGGGTTTTCTAGCCTTGCAAACATACAGCTGAGTACCAACTACTACTGCATGTCCAGAGTCAAGTCTTTTTACTGGAAAGACTCACTTTTATAATCACACCATATACTCTTTTCAGAAAGTATTTGGAAGTAAAGTGAAAAACAAAATATTACTAAAAATAAGTTATTTATTGCTATTTAAAAATAAACATTTATTATAGAATATCAAATCTGATTTAATCTAATCTATTAACAAAAGCATAATACACTCCAGTAAACAAGGATTTCCAACTTAAGGTGTAACTAAGTCAATTTAAACACTTGAGTTTTAGGTAGGGGCAAACAGCAGCCCCTGCCCTCTAATTCCCCAAATCCATACTGCTTCATGTTTAAGGGGAAACCTCAGAGGGGCTCTCCCCCACTGGAAATGCAAAGAAAAATAACGCAAGCCCCCAAAGCAGCCACAGAGAAGGTGCTAGATCAAAATTCTACTTCATATCCCTGAAGGAGGTGGTGGGTTTCCCCACCAGTTTTAAATAAATGACAGTTTGTTCACGAAAGCAGCCCATTCATGGAATGTGGTAGCATGGTCATGTCTTAAGTCTTAGGGCGTGGCAGTGTCTGCTCATATGCCCACATTCAGTCAGGGTTAGGAGAGATAATGAGGCTGTGGGCTGCCATCATGTCACAGTGATTCCTGCCCAGGAACACTAAGAAGATGGCTCTCCTGTCTTTAGAGGTAGGAAGTATTGTCAACTCTGAAAGATTTTTTGTAATTATCCTAGGTTTGGTTAAAAAAAAAAGCAACCATTTTGAAAGTTACTGTGTTACTCATGATGATAGATATCATTCCTCAAGAACTTAGGTCCTGCTGTTGAACATGTCTTCACACCATCCTCTGTTTTTGGCCTCCATATAGACAGATGCATTGCACTGCTGCATGGTATACTCCATCTCAATCAGTTGGCGGCATCCAATGGCTAATTTTTCCCTACGGGAAAAAGAAGGGTAAATCACCAGAGGACAGTCAAAAATCCCAGGACTCCACAGGCAGAAGCAGGCAGGTATCTGAGTTCCAGGCAACCTGGTCTATGTAATGAGTTCCAGTCTAGCCAGAGCTATATACTGCATCTCAAGAAATATTTATTTATGACTGTATGTATACATGTATGTCTATGTGTGGACTTATGCATGTGAATGTAGTACCCACAGAAGCCAGAAGAGTGTGTCAGATTCCCTGGGAGCGGAGTTAACAGGTGGTTGTTGGCTGACCAAGTTGAGTACTGGCAACTGAACTCTAGGCCTTTCCAAAGCAATATGACCTCTTAACCCTGCACCATCTCTCCAGCCTACCCCCACACATTTGACCCCTGGAACCACATAGAAGGAAAGAAGTGATTCTCCAAATTGTCCTCTACCTTCACATGTGTGCTATGGTACACACACACACACACACACACACACACACACACACACACACACAGACACTATTCTTAAATTGGGTGTGGTGGTTCATGAGAGGCTAAAGCCGGAAAATCCTCAAATTCAAGGCCAGTCTGCCATACTTAATGAGTTCCTATCTCAAAACAAACACACAACAAAAATAACAATTGTAGATATTTACTGTATATGGTATGTTTTGAAATATGTATACATCATGGAATTGAAGTATTTAACTACTCATAACTAAAATTTTGTGTCCTTAATTAACATCCACCCACCCATCAACCACTACTTGTCCAGGCCCTGTGCCCACCACTTTCCTGCCTCTTTCTGGATCCCACTATTTTGGCTCTGCAAAAAAGCAAACCATACAGTATCTGTTTTCCTGTTATCATAAGACACTCAACATATGGGTGCCCAGGTCCATCCATGTGGCTGCAACAACAGGACTTCCTTCTTTTCAAAGGCTACACAGTATTCCACAGAGCATTTCCCTTATCTATTCATTAGCTGGTAGGCATTTAGACTGATTCATATCTTGGCTACTCCAACTAAATATGAAAGTACAGAAATCTTTTAAATGTATTGTGTCCATTTCCCTAGGATATATTAAGAATTCTTTTTGACAGTACTGATGATTAAATCTAGACTTTGCATGTGAGACAAGTGTTCCACCAGCCAATATTCTTAATATGATGTGACAATTTGAGAGAAAATGCTCTCCTTAGCAAAGAGCACAGATCCCCCTCCCCCCCCCCCCAGGGTTTCTCTGTATAGCTTTGGTATCTGTCCTGGAGCTCATTCTGTAGACCAGGCTGGCCTCAAACTCACAGAGATCCGCCTGCTCTGCCTCCTGAGTGCTAGGATTAAAGGCCTGTGCCACAGCCTCCCAGTGAGTACAGATTAAGTACCCAACTGAGAAGACTTCTAGCTGTAATTCCTAGAATTTAAAAATGAGAGTTCCCATGACAGACCTCTATAAATAAGCAGTCAAATGTTTAAGTAGAATACTGTGTGTTAAACAGCCTAATTTCCTACCTTATTCTCTGAAAGACCTCTCCTAGCTTATGTTTAGAGGTCATCAGGGGGTGACACTGTAGGACAGATGGCTATACTGTATCTACTTCTGTTGGAGAGTTAGCTAAAGGTGAACTATGGAGTTCACTTCCTGAAAGAACAGATGTAGATGTAACCATCCTATTAAATAAGAAACAGAACCAAATACACTGAATTAAAAGCCCAAGAGGTCAGAGCTGAGAGCTGAGACTTCAAACCGCCTTTCTTACCCTTCCTGCCACTTTTGTCCTTCTCCTCAGAAAGAGAGCTACTTCCTGTGTGTCTGTATTTTTACTGACTTTCTGTTCTGCCTTCTCATTGGTTGTAAACCCAACCACATGACCTCCTTGTCACTGCCTGTCTATACAGACCTCCAGGTCTTCTATGGTTGGTATTGAGATTAAAGGCCCGTGTCTCCATGCTGGCTGTATCCCTGAACACTCAGAGATCCGCCTAGCTCTGCCTCCCAAGTGCTGGGATTAAGTGCTTCTGCTATGGCTTGCTATTAGCTCTGACCCCCAGGCAACTTTATTTATTAACATACAAATAAAATCAATTTCAGTACAAATAAAATATCACCATAAACGGACACTTGAGAAAAGACAAGTTGCTATGCTGCCACTCTTAAAAAGGCTGTGGGTGGGCCAGCACGATGGCTCCAGTGGGTAAGCTTGCTGCTAAGCCTGATGACCTGAGTGGTCTCCAGAATCCACACGGTATTAAGAGAGAACTGTCCTCTGACCTATGCACTTCCTCATCCCAAATTACTGGTGTAAGCCAACTAGCAATTAAATGAATATTCATAAATCTAAACCAAAGGTGGATATGCTGGAAGTAGTGATACACACCTTTTAATCTCAGCACTTGAGAGACAGAGGCAGAGACAAGTGGGTCTATTTGACTTTGATGCCAGTCTGGTCTAATAGTGAGTTCTAGGCCAGCCAAGGCTACACAGTGAGACCCTGTCTCAAAATAAACAAAAAATGTGGAAAGGAGAAAGTCATGCCTAATATACTCCATGCAAACATCACAATTTTTAAAATTACTTTTAAAAAGGATTATTTTTACTTATGTGTGTTATAGAGTATTTCTTTTACTAGGCAAAAATGTGTTACATTTGTTTAAGTTGCAGAATATTACTTTAACTATATGTTATAGTTATAATATGTATAATATATATATTAAAAATATGTTATAATTGTATACTTCTATTTGATGATTTCTGTGTCAAATATTATATGGAAATGTTTCCAAGTATTTTCTGTATTAACTGTGAATGAATAGAACAAAATAAATTGCCTGTGATGGAAAAAAAAAGTATGCTATACTTGCTTAATTATGTAAAGATGTGTTGCTGTTTCACCTTGCCTGTCTAAGGCACCTGACTGGTCTAATGAAGAGCTGAATGGCCAATAGCTAGGATAGCAGGGGCAAGTGGGCAGAGAGAATATGTAGGAGGAGAAATCTAGGCTCGAAAGAGAAGCAGGAGAGAACAAGGGAGAAAGAGAGGGACATGCACTGGTCCAGAAGCCAGGCAGTCACCAGCCAGCTAGACACAAAAGGCAGTGAAATAGGACATACAGAAGGAAAGAAAGATAAAAAAAGCCCTAAGACAAAACGTAGATGAAGAGAAAGAGGTTAAGTTCTAAGAGCTAGTGGGACAAGCATAAGATAAGGCCGAGCATTCATAACTATTAAGTCTCTGTGTCATGATTTGGGAGCTGGTTGGTGGCCCTAAAGAAAAAACCTGCTACATATGTGTATATGTTTATTTGTGTGGGAGCCCAAAAGCCAGAGGAGGATACTGATGGAGTTAACAGGGGGTTGTAAGCCACCCAACTTATGTTCTGAAAACAAAAATCAGGTCCTCTAAAAGAGAAATGAGTATTCTTAACTGCTGAACCATCTTTCCAGCTCTAATTTATTTTTCATATGAGGGGGCTAAAGAGATGGCTCAGAGGTGAAGAGTACTAACTGCTCTTCCAAAGGTGCTGAGCTCAATTCCCAGCAACCACATGGCAGCTCACAACCATCTGTAATGAGATCTGATGCCCCCTTCTGGCATGCAGGCATACATGCAGACAGAACACTGTATACATAATATATAAATCTTTAAAAGGAAAATTTGAGAGATGAATCCAGTTGACTTGTCAGAAGCTAACAGAGGGCTACAAATTACAAGACCCCTAGTTTTAGAGCACCAAAGCATTGTATTTAACATATCTCCAACTAAGAGATGGTCTCTCTAAGTTCAGGAAGAACACTCAGTTATCTAATATAATCTCTGGCATGTTAGGTATTCAAGAAAGGGTAGTTATCTTCAATATACTAAGAATGTCATTACAAGCCAAGTGTGGTAGCTCATGCCTTTAATCCCAGCACTCAGAAGGTAGAGGCCAGCCTGATCTACAAAGTGAGCTCCAAGACAGCCAGGGCTATTACACAGAAAAATCCTGTCTTGAAAGATTAAAAAAAAAAAAAAAAAAAAATGTAATTACTTCCTTGGCTTCTGGAATGGCTCAGAGCCATGTCCACAGTGTTGGAGAGGACTATAGCTACCTCTCCTCCCACAGATGGATCCCTTGATGTAGGATAGATACTAAGGGAAAAAGAACTAGTCAGAACTCAGGATTCCATGAGAGGAAGGAGAGACAACAAAAAGTAAATACACTGTATAAGAACAAGCCCCACTTCCTGAGGATGTATGGCTTCTTAGAGACTGACTAAAATCCAGTTGTGGGTAGAGGATGGGAGGGATGGTCGGAGGAGAGAATATGGAGAGGATTAACTAATACTAACCACCTTTTTAAAAAGCCGTATGAAAACCTACTACATTGGAAGCTTCCTAAGATTATACACACACACACATACATATATATACACACACATACATACATACATATACGCGTAAAAGGAATTTAAATGGAGTTATCCTAATAATGAGAGTACAACACCTGAACTAGATACCATGTGCTACCAAATAAAAACCCACTGCCAGGGATGAGTTACTTCTTTTTAAGTTGTTAGCCAATGGGATCCAATAGACCCCTAAACATTATAGACTACTGGCACTGTTCTTGGTTACCCTCCAGAATTTGACAGTAAGATCCTATTGCTGGAAACATCATATAACTGAGTCATAAACATCAAGAAGTCAAGTGGGTACTGACCTGGAAGTTTCATCCAACTGGTTGGCTTTTACATGGCTGGAAGGTGCTAGGCATGCTACCAGAGGAGAAAAGTATCGTCAATCTCACTCAGCCATGAGCCCTTTGAGCTACAATAATGACTTGCCTGGCAAAATACGCCCATTGGCATGAATGTTATGTGGTAACAAACCAAATTCTGGATGGATATAAGGCCTGTTCCAGAAGATGGACCCACACCTGGCACTGTTAATTGTAGAAAACCTGCTAATAGTAGTTCTGCTAAATGGACACAGCATTAAAATGACTCCTAATGACTTATTGCTATACCACAGTCAAATGCTTGTCTCAGCTCTCATCAGAGAAGCTTCGTAATGCAGGCGATCGGGATCAACCCAGAGAACCACAATGGTCAACATGCAGAGAATAAAAGCCTTAGGAAGTACTCAGCCCTAAATGGGACATATCTAACATACCCTCCCCTTTTAAGGTTCATGGATCTTTGAGGAAGAGGACAGGAAGATTGTAAGAGTCAGAGACAGTAGATGATGTCAAAGAAATGGTGTTTTCTATACATAACAGGGCAGAGGCACATACGAACTCAGAGACTGGGACAGCAGAGACAAGACTTGCACAAGCTCTAGGCAGACAAAATCAAAGTATGCAGGGAGGGAGGTATGGGCACATAGTCTCACCCTTCTATGAGGAGTTGTTGGCATTTGAGAGTTGTCAGGAAAGGCAAAACCAGTATTTCTTTAATGGTGTGACCTCTATATTACCACATTCCATGGTAGGTCCCACACTCAAGAGTAGTTGGCCAACACATACTGGACTTGATGAGAGAAGGAGAGGGAGAGAGAAACACATGAAGTTGGGTTAAGTAGGAAGGTAGGAGGGGTGAATATGATCAAAATATACTGCTCAAATTTTCAAAGAATAAAAATATTATTTAAAAAAATTTTGGCTTTGAGTTACTCTAAGTCTACTTCCTATACTTAAAATTGTGATTTTGCTGCCAATCCTTCACAACTACTCAATTTTTTTTTTTTTTCAGAAAAGCCTTGCACAAGGTTCAAAACTGCAGAGATGAAAATGTTTTCTTATAAAATCTAAAATAAAACAAAAAGGGCAGGTCCATATTCCTATCCATGGTCACTTACTCTACGTATCTTTCAGTAAGCGAGTCTATTTCTGTACCCTCCATTTCCTTCCTTCCCCTCCCCTCTTTAGCCTCGTGGTGCTGAGGTCTTCCTGTGAGTCAGGGTTCTGGCACCAACCACTCAGTCAGTTCCTGCAGTGAGCTGTCCGTGCAGGAGGCTGCTCAGTGCAGTCAGTGGTGATGGAGTTCCTGAGTTCCTTTCCTCAGGACTCACCTGGTGGACAGATAACCAGACTCTCTCTGAATTCCAGTGAGTCAGCTCTCTTGAGCACTTACCTCTTGGTAATGGGACCCTCACAAACATGAGAAGCAGCCCATTATATTTTTGGATACTCCCTAACTGCAAGGTGGTTCTTCCTTGGGGCCTATAAAAGCCATTTATCCGAGTCCAAGTTAAAATGAAAAATATTTCTACTTTCTTCCTCTGATAGTCTTATTAAGTTGCCATGCCTGGCTTAAATATGTGATCTTTATGTCTCAGGCTTCCAAGCAGCTGAGATTACACGTATATACCACGCCCACCTAACACTCTAAAGTTCTAAATTCACATAGAACAGACAGATACAGCCCACATGAACAAATAATCCATAAAAATAGATGTCCATAGTCCCAGCTATTAGGAAGGCTGAGACAGGAGGACTTGTTGGTTTTCACAAGTTCAAAACCAGTCTGGACAATACAGCGAGACCTTGCCACAGAGCAAATAAAAAAGATCATGCATACATGCATGCATACATAAAAGAATCTTGAGGTCAAACATTTGAAAACCACTTGAAACTAGATAGCTGATAAATTAACATAGGATTTTTACATATATGAAGTATTTTGTATCAATAAAGGTTAAAAAATCATAAGAGAGGTTGGGGAGATGACTTCAGTAATGTGCTTGCATGAGGACCTGAATACAGATTCCCAACTTCCACATAAAAAGCCAGGCACAGCAGCATCTGCCTATAATCCTCATGCTATGGAAGCAGAGACAGGCAGATCCCCAGAGCTCACAGGCCAGACACTTATCTCAAAAATAAGGTGGAGCGACAGCTGACCTGCACTGCTGGTCTCTATGAGCTTACACACCCATGTTAACACAGACACACACATACATACACCATAAAAAGATGGCTTGCCTCCCCACAGTGATAGCAAACAGGGTAAAAGTTTGTTCTAGATGTCTCATTATCTACATATAGATGTGCTTACCGATACTCAGTCTGAGAAACACAATCATAAAGTTCCTGGGCAGTAAATTTGACATTTTTGTTTACCTGAAAAGAACCAAAATATAATTATTAAGGAGGTATGTTAAACTAAATGAGTGATGCAAGAATAATTCCAATGGGGCATATTCTAAGAGCAGAATCACAGATCTTCAGTCACTACCCAAAAGACAACTAAAACACTAATAGGAAGAAGTTTGGTGACTATAATGTTAATACTCAAATATGTGCAAACTTCATTCCTACAACTCAATCTAGTCTCAGAACTAGAAACAGTAGAAGCAAGATGGACCTGATTGTCTTGGAATCTTTAAAAAGCAAATTACTTTGGTATTCAACTGGACAGAAAAAAATACTGTAAGCTATGGGGGAAGATCTGATTCAGGAAAAGGTTTGACTTATAGGTATTTCTGTCTCACCCTCTTTCCTTCCCCCATCATCACTCATTCATTCATTTCATTCATTCATTCCTTTTCTTCCTCTCTATCTCCTTCCTTATGGTTCTAGGTATCAAACTCAGAGCTTTATGCATGCTAAGCAAATACTGTACCCCAGAGCTACCTTCCAGCCCATGGACATTTCCTAAAAACCTGTATTTTAAAGTGTTATTCAAAGACCCAATTCATAAAACCACAAATATGAAAGTCCATCATTCAAAGCATTGTACACCTGAAACACAAAATGAAGGAATCTTGTTTTTTGAAATTTTATTTTATCATTAGTGTGTAGGCAAATGTCAGGGTGAAAAGACAACTTTGAGTCAGTTCTCTACTTTCCATTGGGGCTCCAGGAATGAAACTCACATCACCAGGCTTGCACAGCAAGCTGGCCTACAGTCTTTAGTTCTTGAAGCTCCCTACTACTGATGCAGACAATCATTAAGTGTTTATTTATGTACAAGGGAGAAGAACCTTGAAACTTGTAGAGGGAAATTATGTGTGTCTTTTGTTTTGGTGCTAGAGACTGAACCCAGGGCCTTCTAGCCAAATATACCCAATGAGCTACACCCCAGCATGCAGAATTTCACTTTTAAATGTGCACCTAAGCTGTTCTTAATTTATAATCCTCCTGCCTCATCCTCTTCAGCAAACTGCCCACCAGCAAGTATCATCTCAGTGGGTAGTAAATTCTCTCTCTTTTTTAATCAGATAAATCAACCAACAACACAGTATTATTTAAATTTTCAGAAATTCAGAACGAGTGGAGAGAAACTCAATAAAACTATTTTCTATTCAATTACTTTCAAAACTATGTAAAGAGCTTCAGATGCAGCTCACTGTAGTGTGAGGCCTGGAACACAATCCAGCACTATAAAAGAAACTCAAGTTTTACTAGCTAGTCCATGTTTTTTGGTGGGTAAAAATATTCCTACCCTGATTCAATTAATATTACTTTAAAGGTTCTTATCATAAAAATGATCTATAGAGGTCAGGGTATTTATTACTTACTTGAAAAATTCCATAACTTTCTTCAATGTTTTCATAAGAAACTACCCATACTTATGAAGAAATGCTTCATTTACTCTAAGTATATATAATTTTTAAATACAATTATTTTAGGGCCAGAGGTGTACCTTACTGGTTGAATGCCTGCCTACTATGCATAAGGCCCGAGGTATGATCTTAAATACTGCCAAAATATGTAACAGAGAGGAAGATAGGTATTTTTAATTTATAAATAAATATATACTTTTAATACAATCCTAGTATTTTGCCTAAAATGAGGAATATGTGTCTATATTACATTTCTAGTAATGCATATATTTAATATAACACTTAATGATTGGTGAAATTAGTGTACAGTTTATCATAATTTTATGTGATTTATAATTATTTTATTTTTTGCATGTGTATCTGTGTGGTTTATGTGTGTGCACAAGTGGGCACATATGTGTGAAGGCTAGAGGTTAACATTAAATGTCTTCTTCAGTGGCTCTCCCTCTTTTTTTTTTTTTTTTTTTTGGTTTTTCAAAACAGGGTTTCTTTGTGTAGCTTTGCGCCTTTCCTGGATCTTGCTCTGTAGACCAGGCTGGCCTCGAACTCACAAAGATCCGCCTGCCTCTGCCTCCCGAGTGCTGGGATTAAAGGCGTGCGCCACCACTGCCCAGCAGCTCTCCCTCTTATATATTGAGGCAGCATTTCTCACTTGAACCTATCCAGCCAGCTTGCTCCTAGGATCCCATCTCTGACTCTCACATGCTGGAATTATAAAAGTGCTATCATGCCTACCTGGCCTTGACATGGGTCCAGTCCTCATTTTTGTGTGTCAAGTGCTTCACCCACTGACCCATTTCCCAGCTCTGTAGTCTTTGTATTTAAGATTTACTTATTTTATATGTAATGTACACAAATGTTTTGCTTGCACACAAGAATGAGCATCATGTGCATCCCTGGTGCCCTCAAGAGGCCAGAAGAGGGTACTGGATTCCCTAGAATTACAGTCATAGCTGTGAGCCACTATATAGGGTCCAAATCTGGGTCCTCTACAAAAGAAACACTGGCTCTTAACTACTAAGTCATTGCTCTCTCTCTCCAGTCCATTAGCTTTAGGGGGTTTTGTTTGTTTATTTGTTTTGGTTTTGGTTTGTATGTCTGTTCTGAGATACTCACCATGCAGCCCTGGCTGTCCTGGAACTTGCTACATAGACCAGGCTCTTCTTAAACTCAGAGATCCACCTGACTTTCTGCCTTCTAAATGCTGAGATTACAGGCATGAGCTACCATACCCAGTCCCAGCCCTATAATTTTTGTTTTACAAATCATTTTAAAATCTTCTAAATATACATCTAGAATTAAACCATTATGAGTCTAGGTTTTTTGTTTGTTTGTTTTTGTTGTTGTTCATGTTTTGTCCTTGCCCCAAGGGCCCGTGATGATTGTCCCAAGGACCCATGATGATGTAAAGTATCGACCCAAACAGACCATCAATGTCAACAGGCTGCAGATGTTTGATCATAGGAGGAAGAGAATAGTCTGTTTGGTTTGTGGTTGGGAGGGAAAAAAAATAGTTGAACAACTGATTTTGATCTTGATATAATAAGAATACAAAATAATTCGTAAGTTTCTAAAAGATCTTATTTTAAAAAGTACCTAGAACCAATCTTTAATTTTAAAATCAACCATCCACATATACTGAAATATCCAGTATAAAAGCAACATGACTCCACATTAAATTAAACAACTTATAAAGCAGTCAGTTAGCTTACTAATAAAAATTAAAGCACATATTCAGGAAGTCTATATTCATTAATTTAAACTATTAAGACATTTTTCCTGGAACTGGAGAGATTGCTCAGCTGTTAAGAGCACTGGCTGCTCTTCCAGAGGACCGGGGTTCAATTCCCAGCACCCACATGGCAGCTCACAACTGTCTGTAACTCCAGTTCCAGGGAATCTGACACCGTCACACCAATGTACATAAAATAAGATCAGTAAATGTTTTTTTTTTTAAGACATTTTTTCTTTACTCAGAAGCATTTTACATTACTCTGTTAAATATCATCTCCATGCATGAATACATTATATATACTTATATATATTTGTGTGTGTGTGTGTGTATGTGTGTTAGAGAGAGAGGGAGGGAGAGAGACAGACAGACAGACAGACAGACAGACAGACAGACAGACAGACACAGAGTAGTCTTGGGTAATACAGGCCAGACTCACTCACTGAGTGTGGCTGAGGACTGCCTTGAACTCTTGATCCTCCTGCCCATCCTCCCAAATGCTGTACTGTGTAAATGCTGTAAATGTGTAAACGCACAAATTCTAAACAAAAACTAAACGGTGGCTTGCCCAGTGTCTCACTAGGTTGTTAATGGACAATATGGCATACAAAAAGTTATATGAAGAGCTTACCAGGGGTGAAAGTGAAGGAATACATTCAAGGGAGTTTGACTCCCTATAGTGTGAAGGCCCAGCATGTGCTGCTGCTCCTTCACTGAGATCATTATAAGAACAGAACACATAAGCTAGGAGTGGGGTACAAGCTGATAATCCCAGTACTCAGGAAGGTAAGGTAAAATGACCATGAGTTTAAGAAGAGTCTGAACTATATACTAAGTTTCAGGTTGGCCTAAGCTATAGCATAAGACCCTGTCTCAAAAACAAACTAACAGGACTGGAGAGATGGCTCAGCAGTTAAGAGCATTTGCTGCTCTTCCAGACTACTCAGGTTCAATTCCCAGCACCCACACGATAGCTCACAACTGTGTTACTTCAGTTTCAGGGAATCTGACATCCTCACACAGACATATATATATGCAGACACCAATGCACATGAAATAAAATAAATTTAAGAAAACAAACACACAACAACAAAAGCCACCACATACACATAAAATTGAGAAGGGATATACAAAGAATAGCAGCAGAGAGCTATTAACAAACAGAAATTAACAATCAATAAAGCACTGTCCTTGGATCAGCAATGATGAGGAAAACACACGAAGTCAATTTAGAAAACACAATGCAACCTCATTTCAGCTCTTAGTCTAGGGTCTATGCTGTTGCTGAACACAAAATTGAATCATACTTTTCCTTGCAGAAATGGCTCTTCCTTTCTGGAGGCCATTTAGATAAGTGAGTAGGGTAGGGTGGTAGAATATTTATATCCCACTATAGTTGGGATGGCTCCATGCACTTAGTACCTGAGGAGCTGGGATACAGAATATCCTGCAGTCTTCCCACAGTGAAGCAATGACCTGCCCAAAATGCTAAAAGTTCCCTAATGAGAAAGAATTTTGTGTTGAAACAAGTATATTTCAGGACTCGATTGCAATTTCACTTAGGGAGCAAGATATAAAAAAAAAAAAAATGGATATGTTACTGGTAAAGAGTGGGCTGGAGAGGAAGACAGAGATGAAGAAATGCAGCAAGCTACTGTACAATATGAAGACTGTAGTTAATAACATTGTTAAATTTAGGATTTCTTTTTGTTAAAAAGGTCAATTTTAGTTTTATTGCCAACTAAAAAGGATATTACGTAAGATGGTAGGTGTGTTTATTTACTTGACTAATAAAATAATAAATACTTAAGTTTTTTAAGATTAAAAAAAAATTAGAGCCGGGCGGTGGTGGCGCACGCCTTTAATCCCAGCACTCGGGAGGCAGAGCCAGGCGGATCTCTGTGAGTTCGAGGCCAACCTGGGCTACCAAGTGAGCTCCAGGAAAGGCGCAAAGCTACACAGAGAAACCCTGTCTCGAAAAAAAACCAAAAAAAAAAAAAAAAAAAAAAATTAGAGTATGTGTATGAGTATGTTAATGTGTCTTTGGGAGCACAAATGCCCAGAGGCCAGAAGAGGGCACTGGATCCCTGGAACTGGAGAGTAACAGGCAGCGGTGAACCGCCTGACCTACAAGCAATATGTAACTGCTGAGCCCCCCTTTTGTTTGTTTTTTTCAGAGAGGATCTCTCACAGCCCAGGCTAACCTGGTAGTTACTACGTAGCCCATGGTGGTCTTTAAATCATGACAATTTCCCGACCTCAGCTTCCTGAGTACTGAGATTACAGGCATGAGCTACTATGTCCAACCAAAAGATTATCTTGTATATCTTAAATACATACTTTTTTTTTTAAAACAGGTAGAAAAACAAACGTCACAAATTTTTATGACACTCTGAAGTTTTAATTTAGGTCAGCCTGTACAAAACAGCAAGATCCTGTGTACAAAAAAACCCCTTCATTTAAAGAAAATATCAATAGCAATGTGACTCTATTTATTTATATTCAAACAATATGTTATATGAGCAATATATAAATATTTTTCATACCTCATACTTGATTAGGAAGTTATAGAGAGTCCCAACATCTTGGTAATTACTATTAGGAGCCAAAATCCTAAAACAACAAAAACAATAAACTAACAAAAGGACCATGGAAATTTATTTTTAAAAATAGCTTTTATTTTCTCCTTTAAACTTATATGTTTATTAAGTTTATTCAAACCATTAACTTAATACAACTGAGATCAATTCATTTAAATATTTCAGCTAGTTTAATACCTATACATTACTGATCACAAACATTCTTTTTAGCCTGCTGAGACAGATGTAACCAGATTGGCTTCAAACTGAAAATATAGTCAGGCTGGCCTCAAACTCCTAATCCTCCTGTTCCCATCTCTCAGGTACTGAGATTATAGGCATGTGCCACTGTGCCTACCTGCCATAAACATTCTTACATGTGAAATTATAATTCATGTATTGTGTTATCATAATGCATAGTTCTCAAAAGGTAGATAGGAATGTGAATTTACACTCCATATCTTTTAAGCTGAAGATTCCTTTCTGCATAATGGTAAGCCAGTTCAAACAGACAACAATTAAAACTAACAGACACATAAAAGACAATAGTCAAATTCAAATAACACTGAGCTATCAGTACAGTACTCTCTGAAAACCAATAGTTAATCAGACTATGAGAACTGATAGAAGTCTTGAATAAAAATAAAGAGGACAATTATTTTCCACCCTCTAATAGTTAGGTATTCTTTTTGTATACTAAGTTTATTTATTTAGGTTTTCTTTTTGTATATTAAGCTCATTCATCCATTTATTTATTTATACATTCATTCATCCATTTATTTGTTTGTTTGTTTAAGGGTTATGGGTGTTTTGTCTGCATGTATGTCTGCCTGGTGTCAATGGAAGACAAAAGAGGACACTGTATCCCCTGGAACCGGAGTTACATACAGTTCTGAGCCTCCATGTGGGTACAGGGAACTGAACCCAGTCCTCTGGAAGAGCAGCAAGTGCGCATAATCATTGAACCATTGCTCCAGACTCTTACACGATTTTAATGCTTATAACATCAATATGTAGAAAATTAACGGGAAGGGAGGGGTTACCTCCTGTTTAAAACTAGTATTGGCTTCACGGTGAGTTCCAGAGACCCTGGGCTATTGACTCTTGCCTCAAAAATAAATAAATAAATAATAAATAAATAAATAAATACAATACAATACAATACAATACAATAGAAAACTGTTATCACTTATTTATTTATCATGGGTTTGGAAAAGCTTTTTGAGACAGGGATTCATGACGTAGAATATTAGTTAAAAATGTGACACATTTGTTTACACCATGGAATATTTGTTTAATGATACAAAAATGTGTTGAATTCTTTTATGTTGCATTTGTTTAACTCTGTGAAGCTGTGTTACTATGCCTGTCTAAACACCTGATTGGTCTACTAAAGAGCTGAATGGCCAATAGGGAGGCAGGAGAAAGGATAGACATGGCTGGCAGGTAGAGAGAATAAATAGGAGAAATCTGGGAGGAGGAGGACACCAAGGACTAGCCACACAGACAGACACAGAGTAAGAAGTAAATAAAGATATACAAAATTGAAAAAGATAAAAGCCCAGAGGCAAAAGACAGATGGGATAATTTAAGGAAAGCTGGCTAGAAGTAAGTCAAGCTAAGGCCATTATAAGTAAGAAAAAGTCTCGGTGTGTGATCATTTGGGAGCTGGATGGTGGGCCCTCCAAAGAGAAAAGAGTCAAAGAGTGAAAAACAACTACAGTTTCATGTAGCTCAGACGGGCTTGAACTACGTAGCTGAAGTTATCCTTTAATTTCTCATTCCTGCATCACCATATCAGGCTCAGAAAAGCCTTAATAGTATCTAGGATATAGAAAATAATATCTATCAAAGCTATAACACTAACATTACTACCACAAACACTTTTACCTAGTTGCAAGCCAAAAATAAATGAATGGTACTGTGGTGATATTTTATTTGTGTACCCCGATAAAGCTTATCTGAAGATCAGAGGAAAAATCCAGCCACTATATTAAACACAGAAGTCTGACAATGGTAGCGCACACCTTTAATGCTAGCATTCGGGAGGCAGAGATCCATCTGTAGCTCTGTGAGTTCGAGGCCACACTGGGAACACAGCCAGGCGTGGTGGCACACAACTTTAATCCCAGAACTAACCATAAAGGTCTGGAGGTCTGTACAGACAGACAGGAAGTGACAGAGCTAGGCAGAAAGAGGAAGTGATGTAGCTGGGCAGGGAGAGGAAGTGAGATGGCAGGCACAGAAAGGATATAAGTGTAAGAATACAGAAAGCTGAGGAGTCAGTAAGGTGAGGTTGGCTGTGGCTTGTCCTATTCCTCTGATCTCTTGGTTTTCAACCCAACATCTGGCTCTGGGTTTTGTTTTGTTTTGTTTTTATTAATAAGACCGTTTAGCAATTGGTTTTACATTGATACTGTAACTAATAAATAAAAAAAAAAATCGGGGCTGGAGAGATGGCTCAACAGTTAAGAGCACTGGCTGCTCTTCCAGAGGTCCTGAGTTCAATTCCCAACAACCACATGGCAGCTCACAATAATCTGTAATGAGATCTGGTGCCCTCTTCTGACCTGAAGGAATACATAATAAATAAATCTTTTAAAAAAAAAAAAATCAAGTCATTTTAACTCTTAAATTCCAAAGAGCTTTTAACCACAACAATATCCCTAGGCCCTCATGTTTTTGCCAATCATAATATCACAGGAAAGCTACGTGATCTCAAATTTTCAACTGTATCTTTGTAGATTATTTGTCTTTATTATGTTTATGAAAGCTTTTATAAATATTTCATAGGACATAGTCAAAATCTAAAATGTACTCTGCTGTCTTAGAAAGGACATAATCCAGTATATCTTTAAAACACACAAAAATCTGAATAATTTCAGTTTCATGGGAAAAGGTTTTCTTCTAGCAAGTAATTTTAAAATACAACCTCATGCCAGGTGATGGTGGCACATAACTTTAGTCCCAGAATTTGATGGGCAGAGGCAGGTGGATTTCTGAGTTCAAGACCAGCCTAGTCTACAGAGTGAGTTCCAAGATAGTCAGGACTGTACAGAGAAACACTATCTCAAAAAATAAATAAAATAAAATAAACTTCCTAACCAAAGAGATAAATCATAAACCACACACAGTCACACTAATATATATACATACATACATACATATAATATATACATGTTATATATATGTATATATACACAATTGAGTATTACTTAGCTATTTAAAGAAATTAAATCATGAAACTCATAGGTAAACAGATGGAGCTATAAAAAAATCGTCAGTGAGATAACCCATATCTAAAAAGACAAATATGGTATATATTCTCTTACATGTGAATGTTAGCTTTTAAGTCTTCAACAGAAACCCATATCTAAAAAGACAAATATGGTATATATTCTCTTACATGTGAATGTTAACTTTTAAGTCTTCAACAGAAACATCACAATCCATATAACCATAGATGTTAGGTGTAGAGTAAGGGACTGGGGCAGGGGCAGGGGGAGAATCTTCCAAGTAAGAGGAAATAGAATACATAGTTATGGAGACAGGAGGGGAATAAATGAGGGAAGACTAGGAGGAATAGGTAACACTAAGGGCCATTTGAGGGCCTACTATGGTAGAAGATTCTTAAAATATACACATGTATAAAATAAATCTAAATGGAATCACCATATAGCAGGGGAGACGAAGTCCCAACTAAACTTCTCTAGCCACCAAATGAATCTCCAGTGCCAGGTAAGGGTTACATCTAATTGAGTTGTTGACCAAAGGGAACTCATGGAAATCTCCAAATAATTCAAGTAGCTATCACTCTCTACAAGTTGATGGTAAAGCCCTTGGACTAAAGATACTAACTTATGTATCTCCTTGAGCATAGAGTCATGGAGCTGGTGTGGAGTTGGCTAGGTGGGGAGCGAGGAGGATCTGGGAGGAGATGAGGGAGGGGAAACCATGATTACAATATAGGATCTGGAAAATTATTTTCAATAAAAAATTTAAAAGATAAATAAATCTTTTACTAGATTCTATCTTTCTGCCTGCTAACTGAAATTAGTTAATGAAGAGATATACGCCCCCCCCAAAAGCCAGGGATGATGAGTGCACATCTTTAATCCCAGCATTCAGGAGGCAGAAGCATATGGATCTTTGAGTTCCAGGTCAGCCTGGTCTACAAAGTGAGTTCCAGGACAACCAGAGCTACACAGAGAAACCTTGTCTTGGAGTGGGGTGGGGCCAAGGACTAAGAAACTAGGTAAGATGTTATACCAGGAGCTATTTGGGCAAGTTGCCAGGGGCTTTATCACTTATTCTAGATGCTGATGCCTTTCTGATCTCATTAACCTCTTATAGTTTTTCAACTTCTAGATTGCCTTATTCTTATTCTTTCTTAGCTTTTTATTTCTCCCTTCTGTACCTCTTTGGAAATCTCTACATTAACTAACCATCTACTGTTATAATAAAGAAGATTCCCTCAATCAGAAATATTATAAGACATTCACTAATATTTACTGGCTAGAGATACAGCTCAGCTGGCAGAATGTTTACACAACATGCACTGGGCCTGGTGACACACACCTATCACCCCACACTGGGAAATAAAGGAAGATCAGAAGTTCATGGCCATCCTTGACTACATAGTAAGCCTGAGGCCAGTCTGGGTCACATGATACTATGTCTCAAAATACTTAAACATTTATTGACCACCTACTAGCCAATAACATGTTGTTACCTGCACAAGATCCTAGACCTAGAAAAGGCACTTTCTGCCTCATTCAGAGTCTGAGGGAGCTTGTAATAAAATAAACTATGAAAAGTAAAGCTATGTACAAAATGGGAAATAGAAGATGGAGTAACTATGTCTTGTCATTTACAAACAATAGGTTATATTATTTTTCTGGTATTAATCAAACCAAATAATATACTTGGTGACAGAAAAAAAAAAAACAAAACAAAACAAGAGTGAATGGAGAGCCTGATAATGAGGCACAGTGATATCTGAGGAACCATGGAAAAATTGGTTGAAGACAGAGGTGTGTGTGTGTGTGTGTGTGTGTGTGTGTGTGTGTGTGTGTGTGTATGCGCGCACACGTAAAATCATCTAGGACAGCATTTCTCAACCCCTTTTGGGGGTGAATGACCCTTTCACTGGGGTCACCTAAGACCATCAGAAAACACAGATATATTTACAATACAATTCATGAAAGTAACAAAATTTCAGTTATGAACTAGCAATGAAAATAATTTTATGGTTGGGGGTCACCACAGCAGGAGGAACTACATTAAAGGGTCACAGCTCAGGAAGGTTAAGAAGTAGAGACAGGGGGCACACTGGAGTCTCTGTCTTAAGGGAATAAGGCAGAGTGACAGAACAGAATCCACGTGCCATCCTCCTCTTGCCTCCACACATACGTACAGGTGGACATAGCTGCACAAACATGCAAATACCCCGCCCCACACACACACACAGGAGTGGGGAAGGGAACACAAGAGAGAGAGCTCTCTTTATAAGTTATTTCAAACCAAAATCATAAGCTGTGTTTTAAAACAATAAAAATGTGGTGATGTTTTGTCTGTGCTCTAACAAATAAAGCTTGCCTGGAGATGAGAGGGCAAAGCTAGTCACTAGTTAACCACAGAGGTCAGGCAGTGGTGGCACACACCTTGAATCTCAGCACTTGGGATCTCAGGCCTTTGCTCCCAGCACTAGTGTGGAGGAAACAGGAAGTGATACAGCTGGGTGGTAGTTTCTTATGAAACTAAGAAAGGAAAATCTAAAAGCCAATCATCTACTAGGTGTGGTGATGCACACCTTCAATTCCAGCACTCAAGAGGCAGAGGCAGGGAGATCTCTATGAGCCTGGTTCACACCTGACCACCCAAGGCTGCATAGGGAGACCCTGTCTCAAAAACAGTTAATAGTTTCTACCTTGCTAGAAGACTCCTACCAAGTCTAAATTTAGCTAATAATACAGAATTTACAAACTTTAAATTTAATATGATGCTTACCTTTGAATTCCTTCAAGAATATCCTTCACAGCTGCCATTAACTTTTGAAGATATAGAAATGCTTCTTCAAATGATGCTATTTTTGAAGTTGTCAAAGTTGAACTTGAGTCCAATGTCTGAAACACATCTGTGCTAAAAAATAGAAAGAAAAAAAGTATGTGCTCACTTAGTACTTGTAGGTGTTCTCACTGATGACATATAAAAAAGTAATAATATCATTAATCTTGTGTAATACTCATCTATTTAAGTTAAGAAATTAAAGACAGTGACACGAGAAAAGTCTGGGCTAACATCCACACAAGGGATCTATGCCACACACCATACAGATCTAATTTAAAGGAATTAACATAAAAGCTGGGTGAATACATTTCACTCTAAGAGAAACCCACAGAAATGGAGAGGAGTAAATAAAAACATGGATGTTTATCCTTGTAATTCCACTTCCAAAGATTTACTGTGAATTAATAATTACAGTAGATAATTAGTGAGACCTTTAATGTCTACTTAATAAAATACTAAAATATTTTTAAGTGTTTATACCATATATGGATCAAAACTAAAAATAAGACTAGGTATGTGGTGCATGCTTTTAATCCTAGCAGTTGGAAAGCAGAAGTAGGCAGATCTGAGTTCAAAGCCAGCCTGATCTACATGGTGAGTTCCAGACTGGCCAGGGCTACATAGTGAGACCCTGTCTCTAAATATATAAATAAATATTTACTTAGGTAACAGTAACTATATTAAAAATCAAAACACATTGTATTGTATCTGAATGGTATCTTCCCCAAATTTACATTCATCTAGAACCATGGTTCTCAACCTGTGAGTAGAATGATCTTTTCACAGGGGTCACCTAAGACCACCTGAAATATCAGATATTTACATTATGATTCATAACAGCAGCTAAATTACAGTTATGAAGTAGCAACAAAAGTAATTTTATGGTTGGGGGGTCATACCATGAGGAACTGTATTAAAGGGTCACAGCATTAGGAAGGTTGGGAAGCACTACTCTAGAGCTTCAGTATGGACCTCATTTGAAACAGGGCTCTGGCAAATGTAAATGGTGAAGCTACATGCGGTGTGGATTAGAGTAGGCTATACCCACTCCACTAAGGCAAAAGCAGAGAATGGAGAGATGCATTTACTAGGCAAGGACTGAGGAAGACAGAAAGAGACAGAGCAGATTCTCACTTAGTACACAGAGAGACCCTGTCAAAAAAAAAAGAAAAAAAAAAGTGTATTAAAATAGCCCCAAATCCAAGTCATGGAATTTCTAAGTTGGCAGACCTTAAAGATCATGTGACTATTATTTCAGGATGAACAGAGTTTCAGAAAGACTAGATGGTTTTCCCAAAATCAATGTCTTTATTGTTCCATTGGAACAGTGGTATAATTTTTAAGTAGCAAAAATACTAAGCCAAGGTGGTAGTCCCTGTCTTTAATCCTGGCACTCAGAAAGCAGAGACAGGCACACCCAAAGGCCCATCCCCCAGATGTTTCTAGATTCTATCAAGTTGATAAAACTAACCATAACTGTATTCTAGTAACTTATATGAGTAATTAAGAATAGACATACCAAGCCGGGCGTTGGTGGCGCATGCCTTTAATCCCATCACTCGGGAGGCAGAGCCAGGCGGATCTCTGAGTTCGAGGCCAGCCTGGGCTACCAAGTGAGCTCCAGGAAAGGCGCAAAGCTACACAGAGAAACCCTGTCTCGAAAAACCAAAAAAAAAAAAAAAAAAAAAGACATACCAGATCTCCAAATGAGCACTTTTATGCAAAAGGATTATATTCAATAAATTCTACTGCAATTCTGGTATACAACTAGGCTTGTTAAAAAAAATAGGCTAAATAAATATGTATTGTTAAGGCACTATAAACATTGTCACTTACTGAAATGCTGGCATATACAATCTGTTACTCAGAAATAGCACAGAGCTCTCTAACAGGCAATACAAATGCATGAATATTACAGATTAACTCCTATGTTTTCAAATATCTTAGTTTTATTTTTAAAGCACCCATTCTTGTCTCCTATATATGGTAATTTTCTGTAAACCAGAATATCTGATTAGTCAAAACACCAAAAATATGTTGACTAGAAAAACAAACTGATTCATAAAAATATAAATTTGCAATATAATCTTTAGTTCACATTCCAATGCAATTAAGTATGATGGGTTAGAAAGCCAAATAGCAGGCCATAAATTTGTTGAAAAATGTTTAATTATAGCCAAGGACTGAAAAATGAGCTCCAAGAACAAAAGAGACAAAGGTAGAGAAAAGGGGAGCTAGTTGAGAATGAGGCACAGGGAATATGCAACACAATACACTTGTGCAGGCAATGGCAGTCCATGCCTTTAATCCCAGCACTCAAGAGGCAGAGGCAGGTGGATCTCTGTGTGTTCGAGGCCAGCCTGGGCTACAGAGTGAGTTGCAGGTCAGCCAGGGCTGTTACCCAGAGAAACCATGTCTCAAAATACCAATAAAATAAAATTAGTGGTTTTAAGTTATATAAGCTATTCTAACAGCATCTATTTGAAAAACTACTCAAGGGGAACGTAGTCCAGGTTCACCTATCTAAAACACAAGTGGTCTCAAGCACTGGGGGGTGGGGTGGGGGTGGCAGCAAAATGGCTTAACAGGTAAAGATGCTTGCTGCTAAGCCTGGTGACCCGGGTTTGATTCCTCACAGAGCAGAGAAAGAACCCATTTCTGCAAGCTGTCCTCTGACCTCCACACTGTGACCTCCCACACCCATATACACACAAACAAAAAATAAAAATTACCAAAGAATGATCTCTGTATCTCTTCAATTCATTAATTCTAAAGTGTTTTATCTTTATATACTAAAGTAATGGTATTTTTTCTCTTAAACAACAGCATTCTTCCACTTTTATAATTTTTATATAAATTTTCTTTAATCCAAGGAACTTTTCTCAAGTTATTTTTAGTTTAATCACAGTCTTGCAAGCTGCTAAGCTGCTGAATCACTTTAAGTGACTTATTAGTTGTGACTTATGCAAGCAATGCTCCTCATCTTGATTATATCAGAATCACCTAGAGAGATTTTTTTTTAATGCATTCTCGGATTCGCCTCTGCCCTACTGAATCCAAATTTCTAGGAATAGTGTTTAGAAATAGAAACTTAAAAATTTCCAGGTAATTCTAATGTTTATCCCTATTTAAACATAAATATTTCTAATGTGCCAATTTGACAAAAGACCCATAGCACAATAAACTCATAGCCCAAACACTAACTACAGTAGAAATGGTAATAATGGAAACCCTACAAGAAGCAAACTTGTAATGATAAAGTTGAGAATGTGTTGGGAATTTAGTACCTGTTCTGATATATTGAAGTCCAAACATTCTCCAGGACAGACCAGATTTCTTGATGCCTGGTGAACTGGGGAAGATGAGAATCCAAGAGAACAGTGACATCTTGGTTATAAGGCTTCATCAAAGAACTGTCTTCCTGCTTTTTACTCACTGTGCTTTCTGAAGAATTTGGCTTCAGTTTTGTCTTGACCTGTGACATAAGAATTACATAAAATGCATACCAGTTCTTCACTAGCAACTGAGAAAACAGAGACACAAGCTTACTGGACATGCTGGCTATTTGTTCTTTCATATGTACAGAATATTCCTTGAAAAGCATTAGATTAATATGCTGAATTTATTACTCTAGTGACCTTTCTTACCTAACATTTGACTGTTAATTAAGAATACCGTTTAAGAGCTTGAGAAATGGCTCAGAGGTTGAGAGTACTGGCTGCTCTTCCAGAGGACCTAGGTTCAATTCCCAGCACCCACATGACAGTTCACAACTGTCTGTAACTCCAGTTCCAGGGGGTCTGACATCCTCACACCAATGCACATAAAATAAAGTTAAATAAATTATTTAAAAAAATTATACTGTTGAATACATTGTTATGGAGAGACAAAGGGCAAACTAGGACAATTAAATAGGAAGGGGATAGAAAGGTAAAGAAGGAAATCTGGGGGGGGACTACTAAAGGGCATTTGAAAAACCATATGGAAACGTAGTACTGCAGAAGCTTCTTAAAATAAATACACATATAAAAGCAATCTAAATGGAGTTACTAAATAATAGGGGACACAATACCTCAACTAGACATCTTATGCCACCAAGCAAAACCTCCAGTGCCAGGAATAGGTTACATCTTGTTGAACTGTTGGTCAAAGGAGCCCCACAGAAATCCTCGAACATCATAGATTATTGCCAAGGCTACTGATTACCCTCTGCAATCTGATGGTAAGCTAAGGCCCTATTGCTGAAGATAACACTTACATATACCACGTAACATAAAGAAGTTGAGGTGGTGCCTAACTCGAGTCTTCACTACAACTGATAGCGTTCACAGTACTGGAAGGTACACTGCACACTACCAGAGGCGAAAGGTACTCTTCAATATTTCCCAGCAACAAAAACCCCTGTGACCTAGAAGAGTAACCAGCCTGCAAGATATCCTGGTGCAATAGTAACACCAATGTTACAGGAATAAGCAACCACTTTCTGATTGGATTTAAGGCTACTCCCTAAGATGGAACCTATATTTGACGATACTAACGTGGTCAAGAACCTGAGACTAGGTAGATTACCGGCCTAGGGAAAACCTAATACTATTATTCTGCAAAAGGAACATAGCAATAAAATGATGCCTAATGGCATACTGCTATACCCACAATTCAATGTCTTGCTCAACCCTCATCAGAGAAGCTGCTTCTTGCAGTAGATGGGAACTAACAAAAAGACCCACAACTGGACAATGTGCAGAGACTGAGAGATTTGGGGGGCACTCAGTCCTAAATGGTATGTCTTAATCAAAGTCCTCCCCTCAGGGCTCAGGGACCTATGTGGAAGAGAGAAGACTGTAAGAGCCAGAGGTGATAGATGACTCCAAGGAAACAATGTCTTCCAGACACACCAGGACTGAAGCACATATGAATTCAGAAACTGTGGCAACACACAAAAGGCCTGCACAGGTTCAAGCCAGATGGGGTCCCAACACTGAGAGGGTCAAGTGGACACAGGCTCTTATGCCTGACCAAAAAACTATTTGTGATTGATGCCTGCTTGCAAAGGCAAAATTAGTTTTCTCCATTGGAGTTTCATTGGGTTTATTAGCCATACTTTAAGGCTGATCCCAATGCCCAGGAGAATTTGGCTAACACCAAACAATTGTGTTTATTTCTCTAGAGTTAAGTTTCCACACTAATAAAAGGATGATTTCAAAAGTTAGCTTAATGTCTTACTATTTTTATGCTTTGAAATGTTTTCAATAGAATTTCGAATCCGTCAATAGTAACTGTTACTATTTATGCAAAGGTGCTGCGCACAGGAGCTTTCTAAGGGTTTAGATTAGCTCACTCAGTCCTCATGACTACACAGTACTATGACACAGAACTGAAACCCTATGAAACAGAAACAATTCAAAGTCTTAAGTGGAGGAAACTGAGAAATACAAAGATTTAAAAAACTCATGCAAGGTAACTCAAATGTAAGAAGCATAAGAGAGATTCGACTCTCGGCACTCTAGAAAGGAGGTTATGATCCCACACCAAGTACACAGGTATTAATTACTATTCTCTAATTTGTGGGGCAGAAAACAGAAAGAGATGATCTTCTCATTTTGCCTGTTTGTATTAAATATAAAAATGGGCTAGTATCTAAACATTTAAATTTGAGCATTTACCTATTTCTCCTTTGCTCTGACTCTTAAAACTGAGCATACACAATCATGCAAGTCTATTTTTAAAAAATACTCATATAGCACTTACGATCTGCTAGGCACTAAGTTTTTTTTTTTTTTTTTTGTTTTAGTAACTTAGTTCATTCTTATGGCAATTCTAAGTCAAGAATTAATATTGTACCCATTTTACAAAAAAGTGGGGGGAGTAAAGGTCCAAAGAATTTAAAGAACTAGAGGCAAAAATTTGATAATTAAGATTAGGTACTTCTCAAGTTATTTTATTAAGAAACGTTATTTTGGAAATAATATATTTATTGTTCAAGTTAGAGAGATAAATAAATACCTAAGGTGTATGAAATCTAATGAATTATACAAACAATTCTCAGTAAACCATATTTTAGGGTTCAGAATATATCTCAGTTGATAGAGTACTTTGCCTAGCATGCATGACACTCTGGATTAGATCCTCAAGACTACATAAACAAGGCATTATAGTATATATTTATAATCCCAGTACTCAGAAGATAAAGGCAAGAGGATCAGAAATTTAAGGTTATTCTTGGCTACACAGTAAATCTTAGAGGCTAATCTGAGCTCCATGAGATCCTGTCTAAAACAAAAAACAAAAAACAAAAACAACAGCGGGCTGGTGGTGGCGTACGCCTTTGATCCCAGCACTCAGGAGGCAGAGCCAGGCGGATCTCTGTGAGTTCAAGGCCAGCCTGGTCTACAGAGCGAGATCCAGGGCAGGCACCAAAACTACAACAGAGAAACCCTGTCTCGAAAAAACCAAAAAGCTCCAAAACTTATTTTGTTATTTTTTTAAATATTTATTTTATGTGGATGACTGTTTTGTCTGCATGCATGTATGTGTACCATGAGCATGCCTGGTACCTGAGGAGGTCAGAAGATGGTGTCAGAACTGCTGAAACTGGAGTTAAGTATAGTTGTAAGCCACCAAGTAAATGCAGAGAACTGAACCTTGGTCTTCTCCAGGAGTAACAAGGACTCTTAACTACTAAACCATCTCTCTAGTCCCTCTTTTTTGTGTGTACTTCTTTCTATTATCCATAAAGGAAGCAATATACAATTCAACAGCAATCAAATAAAATCCCAAGTTTGTAGTGGTGTATACCCATAATCTCAATATTACAAAGTACCAAAATAAAAAAAAATAAAAAACTAATGCATTTGAGGCTAGGTGAACTATATAGACAAATTCAATCTCAAAAAACAAACAACTCAACTATTGTGTGATACCACTTCCATCAAAAGTGTACGTTTCTTATCTGTATTAAGCCTTACCTAGAGTTCAATGTACTTAGTCTTTACTCAATACTTTTAGAATGCTAGAATAAGTCAGGGTAATATATCCTTTATTGTTGTCCACTAAATCCACATCTGAAGTGTATGTGATCAACTACTCTAAATCCCACTTCATAGGTATCTTACCTCTGCAAGTACTTGAAGTAGTTTGTTTACTTGAGCAAAGGTCTGTGGAAGAATACCATCATAGTTTGACCTTGTACTGAAGGCATGTAACAAACTTTTAGAGTCCTGGAGCAGGAATTTTACTGTTTTAAAATCCACTGTATTATTAGCTGGTAAGAGAAAATTAAGAAAAAAATATGAAAGAATAAGCATACAATATGACAATCCCTTAGAACACTAATTGAGTATTAATTAATTTTGCAATTTAAAGTGCACATGGTGGACATGTCATAACTAATGTTTCTCTGGTATAGAAAGCAACAACTGAACACATTCACAGACAAAGTGTTCATGTTGACTCTGGTATTCTGTTTTCAGATTCTAGGAGTTCCTTGAATACAGTCAACTTCAAAGGAAAACAAAGTGAGACATTCCATTCTTCAGTAAAAGGAATTAATCAAATTAATCCTACACAAAAAGCCCAAGCACAGTGTTTTCAAAGCTGAAGCTGTCTCATTCAGATGACTATTATAAAGAGTCACATGCTAGAGGCAAACATTTAAGTCAGATGTGGCTCCTGTCATGATTATACAGCTATCATGTAATAACTTACTTGAAATTCTATCACATGAAAAGTAAAACAAGATTTATTGAAAATAATGTGTTATCTCTTTATATACAAA